GGGGAGGGCTGCTCCCCTCCTCCCCCGCCCCCCGGAGGTCCGCACAGATACCCTGAGATGTTCTGGAAGGAGGCTTCTTTGCGATGCGCGCACTGATTTCTACGCGAACTTGCCCACAGGGAAGAGAACTATCACCTGGATGCGCTGAGCCAGGTGGTCCCCATCCCTGGATTGTCCTCGGGGTCTGCACGCCCAGGAAGCCGAGGCGAGGCTGCCCGCCTCTGGCCAATGAGCAAATGCGAAGGTTTGGTTGGGTTACCTCTGATCTCAGGTTATAGGTTATTCAGTGAGCTCAGGGAAGTCTACCTATGAAGGCTTTCAGCACGTGTGGGAAGCGCTCTAGGTCACCCATGTCCAGGCTAATTGTCATCTTCCGGGGCACGTGCTCCCACCCCCCCACACACACGCCCCACCTCATACGTGGGCCTTGAGGTGCTCTTAGTACCTGCAGGTACTAATGACTATTCTTTGGGGTAGAGAGTAGTTCTACAAATTTCCTCATCTAACCATCTCTCCAAGAAGTAAATTGATTGGGGGTGTGTTAACATAAATGCATTAGGCCAAGTCAGTCCCCAATTGAAAAAAAAAAATGCACTCTGTCCACCAGAAAACTGTCTGTTCATCAAGAGATACCAGATCAAGTAATCAAATATGTTAGTGTATTTTTTTCTGATTTGAAACAGGTTTGACACTAAAACACTTATATGTCATTATTTAATTGACCTGTTTGGGGATTTTTCTAAATACAGGTCAAATTTCAACATTGTCAAGTATTCATAAGTTAAGCTAGCACACTTTTTTTTTTACAACAATTACATTAAACTCAATGATGCTTTACAAATATAGCTTGTTTTTACTCATATAAGATAGTGCACCGAAATTCTACATTTCCCAAACCCCGTTTTCTGAGAGTTTACATCTTTGAAACAGTCATAGAAACTGGTTAATGGTTGAAACCAAAGAGCACACTTCACTTCTTCAGGCTTCACGTGCGTGCGCAGTCCCAGGTGCAAGTTATAATAGGACACTGACTTGTAATTGGTGAAAACGCTTAGTGAATACACCAAGGCGGCCTTACAGCGGTAAGTTCAAAACTGTTAACAAGTATGGTATTGTGAGCCAATTGTTACCCTTTAGGTAAACCACATACACTACCACAGACTATAAATACGAAGTAAAACTTCAGCAAGACAGATGCTCCTGTGTCTCCACGCTTAGAGAGCTGTCTGAGCGGTTTCCACCATCATCAAGCTCTCTGCGTTCACTGAGCCATAGGACGTGTCTACCATCTCCTCTTCTTTCAGTTTCTTATAAGAAATATCGGTGTCTTCATCTTCATCGAGAGGATCTTGCTTGTGCAGTATTTCACTTCCATACATTTTATATATTAGCACAAAAATCCCTGCTTCTGCAGACTGGAAAAGGGCGTAGAGCAAGGGAAACATGTACATGCTCCCTATGAGCCGTGGCGGGAAGGCCAGCTTGAGAATGGCGGTGCAGAGCTGCACGTTCTGGCTGCCCGTCTCCAGGCAGACGGTCCTCTTGCAGTTGGGGGGGAGACCGAAGAGCGCGGCCAAGCCGTAGCCCGAGGCGTAGCCTGCTAGAGGCATGAAAATCGCGATCATGTAAACAGTGGCAGGAATACTAGCCAGCCGCTCTGGTCCTAACATAGTGCCGGTCATTATAAAAAGGACCACCAGTGTCACTAGCAGAGACCACAGGGAAACCTGGTGATAGAAAAGGGATAAACAAGCCATCAAAAAAAGACAGTTGAAGGGGAATTCAGGCCAGGGACTCCCAGCACTGGAAGAGGGACCCATCTAGTCTGACCTCCCATACAAAATGGAGATCTTTGCGGTCAAGGCCTTGACAGAGGACTCCCGGGGAAGGGCGGACTGCTGGGCGGGAGGCCTCCACAGCCACGGGCACAGCTCTGATTGCCTGGAGGCCTGTTCTTACGTCTAGTGATCTAGTGACTATCTGCCTTCTATAACCGCCAGCTGTTGTCATGGACAGGCCCTCAGAAGCAACACAGACCACTGCACCTGCGAACAGCCTCCAGAAGTCTACAAACAGCTGAGGCTACTCTTCCCCAGCACCGTCTCCAGGCTCTCAGCCTCCATCGTGTAACTCTGTTTTGGAGTTTTTACTGTTCGAGCACACGCTGAACTCGTGACTATCTGCCTTCTATAACCGCCAGCTGTTGTCATGGACAGGCCCTCAGAAGCAACACAGACCACTGCACCTGCGAACAGCCTCCAGAAGTCTACAAACAGCTGAGGCTACTCTTCCCCAGCACCGTCTCCAGGCTCTCAGCCTCCATCGTGTAACTCTGTTTTGGAGTTTTTACTGTTCGAGCACACGCTGAACTCGTGACTGTGCTTCTCACTAACAGGGCAGTCAGAAGGAAGCCCAATACGCCAGGTGTGGTCGGTCTGATGAATAGAGTGGACAAATGGACGTGATGTTCCCTGAGCAGGACCCCATCTTTTCCATAAGAAATTAGTTCTGGTTTTACACATGAGATAACAGGCTATTAAAAATGTCTGAAATCAAGTTGTGATATTTCTCACCTTCAAAATACTTTCTACCTCTGAGAATTGTTAGCAGTATCAAAACAGTTAACTCTCAGATTACGTAAGGGGGGGAATGTAAACACTAGATGTGAAGTATTCATTGTAAATTTGCAGTTCCCCCCTTTTTCATCTGTTTGTGAGAAACCTTACACCTGTGAGTCTCTAGTGATGCTTCCCGGTTATTATAGTAATATGATTTTTTTTATTGATTTCAGAGAGGAAGGGAGAGGGGGGGAGAGACAGAAACATCAATGAGAGAGAATCATTGATTGGCTGCCTGCCTTCTGCACACCCAGGATCGAGCACGCAACCTGGGCATGTGCCCTTGACTGGAACCGAACCTGGGACCCTTCAGTCAGCAGGCCAATGCTCTATCCACTGAGCCAAACCAGCTAGGGCTAGTAAATGATATTCAATCTAAAACAACTCACTTATAAAAACATTGTGTCATCTTGACTTGTACATTTCACTCCCTCAAGTAAAACAGACTGTGTAAATAGCAAGGTAGAAACCTAAAAATGCCTCTCATGCCCAGTGTGGCCTCGGTTAAGCATCTTCCCAAAAATCAGGAGGTGGTTGGTTTGATCCCCGGTAGGGGCACATGCCCCGTTTCAGGCTTGATCCCCAGTAGGGGCATGCAGGAGGCAGCCGATTGATGTTTCTCTTTCAGTGATGCTTCTTTCTCTCTCTAAAGTCAATAAAAACATTTTAAAAGATTTCCTCTCCTGGTTCTTCAGATTGGGGGTGAGGTTGTTTTTCTAAATGGTTGTTTCTGGTTCCCTGGACGTCTGAAGGGAAACCCCTTAGGGGTGTGTGGGATTGGCATATATAGTACTTTATACTCTTCTAAAAAGTAGTTAAAATTTATCTGGACTCATTAAAAGTCTACCCTAGAGGATGCTGAATAATTATTATATAAGATACGCTACCAATGTACAGTTGACAAAACCCAAACTTATAAATCAAAACTTATATTACGTTTCAAAGTGTGCCCACATCAAAAGCTTTGTCAGAAGCCCTAGCTGGTTTGGCTCAGTGGGTAGAGTGTCAACCTGCGGATTGAAGGGTCCTGGCTTGATTCCCGTCAAGGGCACATGCTGGGTTGCAGGCTCATCCCCAGTAGGGGGCGTGCAGGAGGCAGCCGATCAATGATTCTCTTTCATCACTGATATTTCTATTTTTCTCTCCCTCTCCCGTCCTCTCTGAAATCAATAAAAAAAAAATTTTTAAAGAGAACCGTCTATTTTTCATATTAATAAAAGTTTGCCCCTCTGTATAATCAGATTACTTTAGAAAATAATGCAAGTAAAACACAAAAGATGTCTTATTAAACCTAAATTGAAACGAGAGACTCGTTTTCTCTCATGTAAAGGAGTTTGCATGTGCATTTTACAATGGCTGGTTCTGTATGTTACCAACCTCCTAAAATGAGAATGCTGTTCATTGTTTACTCTTACTTACTGCTGTTTCAGTTTTCAAAGAAAGCTTAATCTAGAAATATTTAAGTATTTCCTCCAGTCACCTGTTACACAATCTCTCCTGCTACAAAAAGCATCAGGTGGTGTTTTTAAACAATATTGGAAATATTGCATAAAATAGTAGAAATCCCCATGTTTTCACTACCTTTAGAAATCAAAGAATTGTAATGAGGAGGGAGAAAAACACAAATTTATTAATAGCAATACAGCCTGTACTATTTATCCATGACCTAATTTCATTTTGTGCTTTAAAGTTCATATTTTGTGCATCCTATTATACTGCCATGATGTGATTTTTAAATTACTTTTGGTCATATTCATATCAACTTATTTTTTAGAAAATTAATAAAGCATTTTAAAGCAGCTGTATACAGTTTCTCAGAATTAGAGTTCCGCCTTTAAAACACTGAGTAACACATTTCTAAAATACACTACAAATTCTATTAGTAACGCATTTCTTCAGGACTGTACAAATTCTATTAAAATAATTTCATTTCGCCTGCTTGTTTTGTAACACACGAGCGGCTCATGGAAAATGTTTCCATTTTCTGCACTGCCATCCATTTCCCTATGACCTGTTTCCTCCAATGAGTACCAAGTTGTGCTGTTTGTAATTGATCTGTGTCTCAAAGCTATAATTTCTGAAATTCAAAAAGGTGAAAGTTATCTTTGAGCATCAACTTTAAAAAAAAAAAGTGTATCCAAGCAAGGCCTGCCAAATCCTTTTCTTCCTCACGCCTCTTTCCCAAACCTCCTAGCGTTCAGCCCCGCTGAGGACCAAGGACTGCAAGTCCGCCAAGTCTGGAAAGGAGTGACCTGACCTTCACAATGTAGTCGGCCACCCGGTTGTACTTGTAGCGAATGAAGACGCCCAGCCCGATGGGGATGAGGGTGCTGCACAGCGTCAGGGTGACGGCGCCGAGGGGCAGCAGCTGCACCAGGGGCGTGTTGATCCACGCCCGGCTGTAGACCCACAGGCACAGGGGCATCAGGGCCAGGGCCAGGAGCGTGGAGGAGATGGTCATGATGATGCTGCAGAAAAGGGAAGGAACGGAAGTCAGAATGGGCGGCGAGCCCAAGGGCCCGTCTGCCCTCGATCTGGAACCCGAGGTGGAAGGGAAAGGGGGCGACTGCTCTTTCCCAGCTTGAGGTCTGGGGGGAACCTGCTTCATCCCAGGTGAGTGCCAAGAGAGCTGCGTGTCCAAGTCCAACTGAAACACGGACCGGGAAAAAGAAAAGCCCTCCGCACTGCTGCCCCGGCTCCGCGCAGCCTGTGCGGCGGGCTATGGTCTGGACGGTCCGGAGGATTTTGAGGGCCAGGAGCATAGTTTTTAAGCCTTCAGAACACCCGTTGGACACGGGAACGCTGCCCAACGCTACCTGTTGGATTGAACAGGATTACCTTGTCCTCTGTATGAGATTACTCTTTTCTGGGACCAATCGCCCTATTTTGTTGGGCATTTCCGGGGAGTCCTGGCCGCAGGCTTCCCAGTTCTCTTTGTCTTCCAGCGGCGAAGACCTGCGCGGCCAGCCCAGCCCTCGGGGAGGTGGGGAGGGCGCCGCGGAGGAGAGGAGACCCCGAGACCCTCAGCTCGCCCCGGTCTAGATCTTCCCCCCACAACTCCGGCTCTTCCCCTCTGCCTTGACTTCCACATCTTCCTCCTCCCCGCCTCCCCGCTCCATGCCTGTCTCACCCCCCTCGTCCTCTGTCCTCGGTCGGGAGCCCCGGGCTGCAGCGGCGGCCGGTGGGGCTGGGACAGCCGCCTCGGGGACCCGCTCCGTACCTGAGGTTCATGTCCGGGGCAGCAGCCGCACAGGAGCACCGCCACGGCGGCCACCTCGTCCAGCGAGCAGATGAGCGCCAGCAGGAAGGCCAGCAGCGGCAGGAGGCCGAACTG